GAAATTAAACTACTCTTAAACATACCCTGTGCATGAAATATTTCCATGTACTTGAGTCAACACAAAGGGTGTTATTACTACATGCAAATTAAACACTGAACAATACAAAATATGTAATAAGGAATAAGAAAATAACTTATGTATTACTTTCAGGTTTCAGGAAACTTTACACACCCACAAAGTTATTGTAGAAAGATTATCGATGAAATTGTGAGCACATTTCAATCAGTACCTGGTTGTGAAATCAAAAGCTGTCAAATGTGAAGGAGTAAAATTACTTGGCCTCAGAGGCTGCCGTACTTTTCGTTAAATGTCTCTAGTTGCTTTATCATTTCTGCAGACACTGATTTTGAAGTTTCATTGATACTTTCTAGGAAGTCATCCAGATTTATGGGGCGAACCTAAGCAAGGGAAGAACACATGTTAAAAAACAGTCTATGGAGGCTGGTTGACTTTAAAACATTTGCTTTATACGTACGTCTTCCATTTCAACAAATTCAATGGATAAACCATTTAAATCTAAAGATCTAATCGGTTTCATTGCAGCATTCCTGCACACCTGGGAAATGTCAGCTCCACTGTAGCCCTCAGTCATGTCTGCCATAATTTGGAACTGTTCTTCATTAATGTCGTGCTTTTCATTTCTCAGTTCTCTTTGAAATTGCTCAGTCCTTGTCTGCAATTATAACAACCATTAAGAAAAGAGTTTGTTATAAAATTCCATTTAAATGATAGATGATAGAATATGTACTTTTAATGATCAATTTGTAAGACCTCTTATTAGAGAAATTTAGGTATGAAGGAAAACAAAACAAACACAGTTTTTCTTTTTCAATTACGTATACTTTCTATTGTGAAGTTTGTATTCAGAGGTATTATAGCAAATTTCTGCAATCTTAAGGCATTGCACTGATATAATTTTGAAATTGTAGCAATTAATTGTTATGAAAAAAAACACACCCAAAAACCCAATTTAAATCAATTTTACCACATACATTCGAGATTACCTTAAAAAGAAACTGTACAGCATTCAGCTAAAGTGAATTGAATTTACACGTCACCACTGGTGGTGAGGAAAAAGGACTACAATATACTCGAAACACTTCAGAAGAAAGTTGTAAAGTATATAAGCCACAACTCTGTCAATTTGTTTACCAAATACCTTCAACTACCAAAAAACAATAGAATAAGTCTGTTCAACAGGACATGCACATTACCTCCTTATCAGGCAGAGGCACGTACAACCGCCTAGTAAAACGGCGGCGGGCTGCCTCATCAATTTTCCCCGGCCAGTTTGTGGCTCCTACTACTAGGACTTCATCCTTGCCACTTGTTGTGCACCCATCCTGTATGAATTTGAAATGAAAAATAATGGTGAGGGAAATCATGTATAATTTACAGCTCAGATAATCATTAACAGTTTTCCATATACACAAGATAACATGAAAGCATCTAGAAAGGGAAATTGAGTAAAGACTTTTTTTTTTCTTTTATGTAAAGGTTTGAATTGAGTATTACTTTGGAAGGATATAAATTGGACTTTCAAGTTCGAGGGTTAGGATGAGAAGTTCAAGTTGAATACTAACCATACAAGCAAGCAATTCTGTTCTCAGACGTGTAGAACAGCCCCCATCATTTTCTTGTGCACTTCTTAAAATTGAATCCACTTCATCTATGAAAATGATGGAAGGCTGAAGCGCCCTGAAAGGACACATGAACACGGTATGAGAGATACATCAAGGAAGTATACTAAAATATTAAATGATAAGGTCGAGCCCCAAAGCAGCATAGATTTATCATGAATTGTTCATGATTTGTAATTATATTTTCACTTATTTAGATGATAATTATGCAAAGCTTTTTCATTTTCTGATTGTACATGTAGCAAATACATATTAATTCTACAAGTTTGATGAGCAAATTTACCTTGCACTTTCAAACAAAGTCTTCGCTAAAGTTTCTGCCTCGCCATACCATTTGGAGCCAAAGCTTGAGGCGGTAACGGAAAAAAATGTGGCTCTAGCTTCAGATGCTAAGCATTTCCCTGGAACACATATATGTCAGTGCAGTGCTGCTAAGGCACAGAAAATCAAAGAACTGCATTCACATCACAATACCTTACCAATTAAAGTTTTCCCATTTCCTGGAGGTCCAAAAAGCAGTAGTCCCCTTCCTGGACTTCTCAGACCTTGGAACAGGGCGGGATTCAGCAACGGATACACCACCATTTCCTAAATGTGATACGTAAAATGGATTGATAATATTTGACTAGCAGTAGTGTACAGCTCAAATTATGCTAGTCAGTACAAACCTTCAAACGTTGCTTGACACTACTCAGACCACACACATCATCC